TGTTTTGTGGAAAAGCAGTGACTTAGAAGGCTGTTATATGACTTCTGCTTTGGCCAAATTGCACTACTCATGCCCATGTGGCCATCTTCAGAACTACTGACTAGTTGGCTGTTTAAAACCAAATGGGGGGTGCCTGGGTGGCTCAGTTGGTTAAGCACCAGACTTCGGCTCAGGTCATGATCTCACGGTTCGTGGGTTCGAGTCCCGTGTCAGGCTCTGTGCTGACAGCTTAGAGCCTGGAGCCTGTTTCAGATTCTGTGTCTCCCTCTCTCTCTGACCCTCCCCTGCTCATGCTGTCTCTATCTCTCTCACAAAAACAAATAAAACATTTTTAAAAATAAAAAAAAACCCAAATGGGCAATAGAAATATCACTGAACATGTCTTAAAAACAATAGTTTAGTTTGCCAGATATTTCTGGCTTATCACCTTATAAGTATATGGTAGGATTACATTCCAGGGTCTCTTATGTGTCTGGCCAAAGGGTTGAGGTTGACTGATAAAAGGTTTGATGCCCAAGAATATTGTGGCACCACTGGGCCCATCTACCTTGAGTGAATTCACACATGAGCAAGTTGTGAAAAGTAAATGTTTTTATTTTTATTTCTAAAGTACAACCAGAATCTTTTTTATGTATAGGGGTTTAAATACTCTCTCTCTCTCACACACACACACACACACAAATAATAATACCTATAAGAATATTTTTTAAGTTTCACAAATGAGGAAACTAAAGTCCTACAGTTAAACTATTTTACTCAAGGTCTAAAATAGAACTAAAATAATAAACACATTGAAAAGTCCTTTTATTTTGCCTCTGTTTCCTATCTTTAGGAAACCTACCATGACTTAACTGTTTCCAAAGTACTTCGGTATTTCTGCCGCCACCCCACGCTCCACGCCCATGCCCACCCCCTACTTCCAAAATTTGATCTAACTCCCGTCCCCCAAAGTGCCCAGGATCCTTCCAGAATGATGATGACAGGGCCTATGGAGCCACAGAGCAGGCCTTGGGACTGAAAGCAGACAATGTCTGATAGAGCCTCAGGCTGGTCCGTCCGGGAGGTCAGAAAATGGCTTGCTGACTTAATCTTGCCAAGGTGATCATGAAGCCAGGCTCTTGCAAGTCATGGGTAGAGTCCGTGGTTCTACCTCCTTCAAGTCCCGTCATCAAATGATACTTTCACTTTTTCCTCAGCAAACATTTCCACCCTGACAGCTTAAGTGTCACGCCTGGCAAGAAGAGAAAGTCTTCCAGGGAATCACGATTTTCCCTGCATTCCAGTCTCCCTCTCTCAGACCTCAAACGTCAGACCTCAAACGGTCCAAGACCGGAAACGTCCATGAGGAATGGAGTGACCTGGGCAAAATGGTTGCAACTTATGTTAACAGGAAGAACAGCTGGCATTTACTGATCATTTGAATCAGGAGTTATTCTGAGTCCTTAATATGTTAGCTCATTGAATCCTGAAACCATCTTGGGAGGTATGTATTATTATTACATAATAATAATACATGTAAGAAGCACCAAGGCATTGACAATCTCCTCAAAGTCACACAGTAGCAAAGCCTATTCCTTCCCCCACCCCCCGCCAAGCTTCATTTTTTTCCTGCACCATCTGTCTTCTCCATGCTGCTCCCTTAGCCCTCAGCTGGGTGCCCCGTGCCCTTTCTCCCTCTCCAGCTGTCTAAGTTTGGACTCTGGAATGACTGCTACTCTGAATGTACAACTTAACATAGAAAAACTGTGTTGCTTTTCTAGGGGTATTTGTTCCTTCAGTCAGTCTCATTCCCCACTGTGGAATGAAGAGTTCTGCATCCTTTGAGGTGAATTCAGGCATAAATAAATATGTGGAAGAGATTTTACAGGAACCAAAGAGACTTCCTGGTGACCCTGGAATAACACTGAGTGAAACAGGCTCCATTTGGGTCACAGCAAAGGCCTGCCATTCGTATGAACAGCAGAGGGCGCTGTGGAGCTGTGGCTTCACAGTAAGAATGTTTTTCCCTTCGTCAACCTCCAGGATGGGATTTCCCAATTAGACTCTATACCTGAAGCAAACTGCCAGGTTTCCACACCTCTGCGGTCCTTCCCTGACCTCAAGACCTCCTGCCAAAACTTTGCTAACCTTATTTCCAACAGCAATCAAACCTGAGGTCAGTGGGCTAAGAGGAGCTTCCACCCAGGCTCAGGGTCTCAGATCTTTGCAAGGCCAATTATGACTTCCCGCCCCCTTTTTCAACAATGGAATTCTGCCTGTCCCCTTAGACTCATTACTCTTTGATTTTGTATTCTTATTTAAAGCCTGAAATACTACCTTTTCCCTTGTGATTCGGCCCCGCCGTGGGCTGCCATCTGACTTGCACTTACCAAACACCTTGCGTTGCTAAACTGTAATTCTGCCTTTAACCCGTGGCTGGAGTCCCTCTGTCTGCTGAAAGAACACCCAGTTCTGCTAGGTTTCCATTCACTTATTGTAAATTTCCTGTCCTTGACCTCTAACTTGTGAGGGCCCCAAGAAGGTCTACCCCAGTGGCAGCTGCTCTTCCAGATCTTTCCGGTTCCACATCCCTCCAAGTCTAAAAATCACGGCTCCAATTACTGACAAAATTCAATAGGTACAGGGCCACCGGTGGAAGACACACTGAAAGAATACAATCCTCCGTTCATCTCCCACCTTATAGGTTCAAAAACAGAAGTTAAAGAATCCTGTGCTGAGGATTTCTTTGGGGAGCTGTTAATGCATTCCCATCTCCTTTCTACACACTTCCTCAAAGTACCCTTGGAAGCTTCGGGCACCTCCATAATTCCAAGAAATAGTGCAGTCCAGATCTTGGATTCTACTACAGCCAACCAGGTATGCCCAACTGGCTAGGGATTAGACTTCAACTATGCCTCTCTTCTCTCAGGTGGCTGGATTTAGTACCCCCAGGAGGCAGAGCCTCCTCCCCTTGAGATATCTGATGAACTTCAGAAAACAGGTAAAACTGGGACCTTAATGGAAAGGTCAGCTTTTACAGGTCATCTGAATCACCTCTTGATTAGTGACTAATCAAGAATGTTATAGCAATGCTCCACTATGTAGGAGCTCTTTGGACTAAGAAATGGGCAGAGGTGGGAGAGTGAATCTTTTTAAAATTCTACAATATCCCTCCTCCCCCCTTTAAAGTTCTAATATAAAAACCCAAATGTGAGGTTGATAAACGAAGGATGACATGGTGGTGTTTTTCCGGCAACCCACCTGCCAGTCAGTGTATATGACAATGCCCTCTTTCTTCCCCTCCCACTCCCTGGGACTTCGCTCCAATGTCGCACAGCAGTACAACCGGGTTTGTAGGACCTGTGACACAGCAGGCCCCTTAATGGCCCTACCAACTTAGAATGATTCTATGAGATTGTTCCAACTTTTTGCTTTGCCCCATTGTTCAATTCTCAGCTATGAGAATGAGTGTAGAAGGGGATGTGCCTGCTGCCAGATGGTGTTTAAAAAAAAATCTGAGATTCATCTATATCAATGTCCAAAGGCAATGAAAACCATACGAAGATTGATCACCCTTGCCTACATCCCGCTACTACCTCTCAGGCTTTCGGCTATCACCTTGTGACTAATTGCCCTTTGTGGATGCCTAAGATTTGTTTTCCTTTAATTTCATCTGTATAGAAATATGTATCATAGGTTGGCTGTTAGACCAGCTAACTTGCTACAGTTCTACCCACATCCGCTTAGGGATGATTCTGGGCTCCAACTTCATTAGGGAGAGACAGTTTTGTTGCTTTGTGATTTCAATCAGTTAAGTCTTCTTCTCGACAGTGGGGTTATTGTAAGTGTCACCATTCACTGACAAGATGAAATTAAGGTGTGTGAGTGCTATAGACAGTAAGGGTGTATCCTATATCAGTGCAGATGTGATGATATCATCATCTCACTGAGGACAGAAAAGTATGCTTCAGATTTGGTCATATAAGAATGTAAAAATACTAACTCAAAGGGACACATGCACCCCAATGTTTACAGCAGCATTATCTACAATAGCCAAATTATGGAAACAGCTCGTGTCCATTGACTGATGAATGGATAAAAAAGAAATGAGATAGAAAGATAGATAGGTAGATAGATGACAGAATATTACTCAGCCATAAAAAAAAAGAATGAAATCTTGCCATTTGCAATGATGTGGATGGAGCTAGAGAGTATTATGCTAAGCAAAATAAGTCAGTCAGAGAGAGACAAATACCATATGATTTCACTCATAACTTAAGAAACAAAAAAGCAAATGGGAGAAAAAGAGAGAGGGGAAGGCAAACCAAGAAACAGACTCTTTACTATAGATAACAAAATGAGGGTCACCAGAGGGGAGGTGGGTGGAGGGATTGGCTAAATAGGCAACGGGGATTAAGGAGTGCACTTGTTGTGTGAGACTGGGTGGTGTACGGAAGTGCTGAATTAAAGTATTGTACACCTGAAACTAATATGATACTGTATGTTAACTAAATAGAATTTATTTTAATTTTTTAATGTTTATTTTTGAGACAGAGACAAAGCCTGAGTGGGGGAGGGGCAGAGAGAGAGGGAGACACAGAATCTGAAGCAGGTTCCAGGCCCTAACCTGGCAGCACAGATCCTGATGGCCTGACATGGGGCTTGAACTCGTGAATGGCAAGATCATGACATGAGCTGAAGTTGGATGCTTAACTGACTCAGCCACCCAGGCACCCATGTTAACTAACTAAAATTTAAACTTTAGGAAAGAAAGATATGGTCATATAAACTGAGATGACATAGGTTTTAAATATATGCATATTTTCATTTATGCACTGAGCAATGAAGAAGTTTTCAATCTCTCAAGGATATATCCACCTATTCCCTCCCACGTCACTCCTGCATCACATCCTAGGCAATAGTGTGCTCACAAGGTGCATTAAGGAGTTTGTCACAACTTGCAAGCTAAGCTTCTCCTTGAGTTTTTAATACTCACCTCTCATTTTCACCGATTCATTAATTTAGATCCATTGGTTGGGCTTAATGATGCATTCTAAATGGGGGAAAAAGCAACACTGATGTCAGTGAATAATGGTCTTGACAAAATGTATTCATATTTATGTATATGTTTGTCTCAAGGTAAATATACAAAAATGGAAACATGAAAAGTACCCAAACTGACACAACTACACAGAATGAAACTATCATATTTCACTGAACCTAACATTGTAAGCCACATCATTATTTTTATGTTCCATTAAGAAAAGAAAAGAAAGGGGAGCCTATGTGGCTCAGTCAGTTAAGCATCTGACTTTGGCTTAGATCATGATCTCGCGGTTTGTGAGTTCGAGCCCCATGTCAGGCTCTATGCTGACAGCTCAGAGCCTAGAACCTGCTTCGAATCTGTGTCTCCCTCTCTCTCTCTGCCCTTCCCTTGTTCATATTCTGTCTCTCTCTCTCTCTCTCTCTCTCTCTCTCTCAAAAACTAAAATTAAAAAAAAACATTTTAAAAAAATTTAAAAAAAGAGAAAGAAAGGAAAAAAATCTTACCAATTAAATCATGACATGCCACAGATTGTAAGATACATTCCAATTTTAGAAATGTTAAAAGGTGAGGAAAATGCCTATCTTAGAATTGATGAACTAGGGTACCAAAAGTCACACTCAATAGTAGCTATCTGTAAATGCTGAGTCTTGATGTGTGCAGAAAAGTTTTTGTTTGTTTATTAAGAAAGTAGCTCTTATTAAGAAACTGTTGGTTGACCAGTGAAGAAATGGGCAGAAGATATGAAGAGACACTTCTCCAAAGAGGACATCCAGATGGCCAACAGACACATGAAACGATGCTCAGCATCCCTCCTCATCAGGGAAACAGAAATCCAAACCATACTTAGATACCACCTCACACCAGTCAGAGTTGCTAAAATGAGCAAATCAGAGGACTCTAGATGCTGGCAAGGTTGTGGAGAAACGGGCACCCTCCTACACTGTTGGTGGGAATGTAAACTGGTTCAGCTCCTCTGGAAAACAGTGTGGAGGTTCCTCAAAAAATTAACGATAGAACTCCCCTCTGAGCCAGCAATAGCACTGCTAGGGATACAGGAGTGCTGATGCATAGGGGCACATGTACCCCAATGTTCATAGCAGCACTCTCAACAATA